CAAATGATGGACTTTTTAGATTTTGGAACTGAATTTGGTTCCCCGTTGCTGTAAGGGCGGATGTTCTCAAGGTTAATCACGCTTTTAAGCTATCCATCCATCCCGAGAGTACCAAGATGTACCGAAACTTGAAGTGTCAATACTGGTGGCAGGGAATAAAGAAGGACATAGTCGATTATGTCTCCCAATGCCTCACTTGCCAGAGGATTAAGGCAAAACATCAGAGATCCGACGGTTTGTTATAAGGCCTCTCGATTCTAAAATAAAGTGGGAGCATGTAACTATGAATTTTGTCATAGATTGCCTAAGACTTATTCTGGTCGGAACATTATTTGGGTCATCATTGACAGGCTAACCAAGACTGACAATTTCTTACCTATCAGGACAACTGACTCCACTAACAAATTAGCTCGCTTTTATATTGATGAGATTATTCGACTTCATAGTGTTCCCTCATCCATTGTATCTGATTGAGATCCTCGATTTATCTCCCACTTTTGGGACAACCTACAGGAAGCTTTAAGGTCTGGGTTATATATCAACACCGCTTATCATCCCCAAATGGATAGTCAGTCGGAACGTCCACTGCAGACATTGGAAGACATGTTACGTGTTTGCATCATTGACTTTGATGATAACTGGTATGAGTATCTTCCTCTATGTGAATTTGGTTATAATAACAGTTATCATTCCAGTATCGACATCATTTTGTATGAAGCATTGTACGGTAGACCTTGTCATTCTCCCACTTGTTATAGTGAAGTCAGAAACTAGCGTCATTTGGGACCAGACTTCATCCAGGAGACTATTCAGAAGGTCGCGATTATCCACAAGAACTTGGCTACCACCCAAAGCCATCAAAAGAGTTATGCTGATAATCGTAGACGACCTCTGGAATTCGCGGTTGGAGACCAAGTTTTCCTTAAGGTTTTTCCTTACAAGAGAAAAATGTGGTTCGGGAAAAGAGGGAAGTTAAGCCCTCGTTATATAAGACCTTTGTGGATTATTGAGCTCACTGGACCCGTGGCATACCGCCTCACTTTATCCCGAGATTTTACAGGTTTACATAACGTCTTTCATGTCTCGATGTTTAAAAACCTTGACCCTTCTCATATCATTCCTAACACTGAAATATAGATACAAGCGGATATGACTCATGAGCAAATCACCATAAAGATTTTCGGATGGATTGACAAGGTCTTATGCAACAAAACGATTCCCATGGTGAAGGTACAGTGGCAACATCATACCCTATAAGAAGCAACATGAGAGTTGGAGAGCGAGATGAGGGAGACGTATCCAGACCTATTCAAGACAAATTTGGGGACCAAAATTTTCTAAGGTGGGGGAGAAGTAATACCCTGCCCATTGCTATGCTTAACTAATTTAGAAAATACTATTAATTCGGGCCTTTAGGCCTCATTGAACTCATTTAATTTACTTCGCAAATTATTATCGTAATTCGTGAACTTTATTGATTTTTAATTATTTTGATTTTATTTAATTAAAATTAAAACTATTTAATTATAATTTAATTGTATTAATTTTATTTTATTTTATTTCAGTACAAAAAAAATGAAATTTTAGAAAAGTGGCGAAACGGGAAAAATCCCACATGGAAGGACAGCTGCCTGCACGGGCATCTACGCACTGTGGGTGCGCATGCACGTACAGCAAGCGCGGGACATGCATATAGCATGAACTCCCCATCCGCACACGCGTCGCGGGGTTAGACCTTGCGCGTATCCTGTCATGCACAGACAGGCCGTCCGCACATCACCTCGCATGCAGACAGGCGTCGAACACTATGCGTGCACTGTCTGCATAGTAGGCCTGCTCAGATAGGCCCCTGTGCGTCTGGGACCAACGCGCAGTAGGCCTACGCACGCGACACCTTGCCCGCCAAAACCCTGTACGCGCGGCAAGGAGGGCTATGCGCTTGCAGGCTAGCTTGCAACACACCAAGAGGGCCACTACCGCCTTAGGCAGTGCGCTGCTATCACCTTGAGTGGTGCGCCATCATTACCGACGGAGGATATTTTCCTCCCTCGTTTTTTATACTGAGCATCATTTTTCTTTCTCTTTTTACTGGATTTTTCCACTTGACGTGAATCCGATGGTTCCTAATTTCTATAAATAGGGTCTTCCCTTCCCATTCTTCCCCACACTTTCATTCTTCTATTTTTCAAGAATTAAAGAGAGAGCGTGATCTAGAGAGACAAAGAGAGAGCGTGATCTAGAGAGAGAAAGAGAGAAAAAAATAAGAATGGTATAAAAGAAATTATCAAAATTTCGGTAAGGAATTTAGTATTTCTTTAAACCTCTTAAGGGGTATTTTTAGATAAAAAAAAATTATTAAATATGATAATTGTAATTTTTCCTATTTTGCATGCTTTTGTGATTATAAGTTTAATTAGTTGAATTGTTCTTGATTTCAAGCATGTTATGTGATTTATAGACACTTGATGATTTGCATGCAATAAAAATAATATGAAGTCGGTATTACTACCTAGAAAATAAAAGAAACAAAAAAAGAAAGAAAAAGAGAAATATGGAATGAAGTATGAACGGTTCAAAGTGTGTATCTGTATTGACATGCATAATGCATCAAGTGTCTTGTTAGGTTTTTATCTATGAGGGATATTTATTCCTCTAACCTCATCCGGGGTATCTATTTCTCCCTCCCCCATCTGGTCTAAAAAGATGTAAGAAGACCGTTCCCTATAGATAACAGCATACCATCTGACGAGAATGGTGACGTGAATATCTGTTGGGGGTCACCATTGGCTAAGTAATGTCGTGACTGTAGAATATCTAATAGGGCCACTATAATTGGTACGGCCGTGGTCGTAAATTATACCATGGTTTGGCCAGCCAGAAATGGGCCTGAGCAAATTACCATATTTGTATCTGATCTAGTCATTCTACTTGGGTAGTTGAAAATCTGTATCTGCCTTCAGATATGGAAGTTGTAACGACTTCACAAAGTATGACACGAAAATATGAGTATTTCCTTATTTATTTAATTTTCTCTATTATCTGGTATGATGTGTATTTGTTTTGATTATATTAATATGTTGTTTTCTCCAATAAATGAATTATTTCATCATAAAAGATAGGTCTACAAAGTAGCCTAATAGTAAGTATTTTTGTTAAAATAATTCACTTTTAAAAGCTTACGATGTTATTTAAATACTGTTTTCCTTATTGAGCATATGGAACTCACTCTTTCCATACCTCCCCCTTTAGATGAAGAAGAAAATGAGGAACCGTCAGCTAACTTACCTATTGAAGTTTACGAGAATCCTGTTGATCCATAAAAATTGAGTGCATGATCGTTCCCGCACTTTAATAAGTCCAATAGCATAGTAAAAGAAATGGCCCTCTTTTGTATCTTGACTTTGTATTTTATAGCCACTTTTGACATCAATTATATGTATGTAATTGGAACTCATATATATATATAAGGAATTTGTATTAATTTTTTTGTTGCATAAAATTTTATCATGCACTCGTAATCATGTTTCTATATTTGATACCCATTTGTCTTAATTAACATTTGAGATGTCACAAATATGGTAAGTCAACTCAAGTTTGCAATTGTCCTTTCTTCAGGTACTCCTAGTTAAAGTTGTAAGTTTCCTTCTTTTATCTAGAAGAAGGGTCCTTTTAAGGTTTTTAGAAATGTTAGGTACAGATTTTGTTATTGAAAATTGCAAGAAATCCTTCACTATCTCTATAATTTCTTTCCTCTAGCACTTTTTTTTTCCAGAAAATGAGACCCTATTTTCATTGAGTTTAAGAATATGTTAGATGGGTTTCGAGTTTGTGTATAGGGTTAAGTATTTGTTTATTTGAAATCGAGATATTGTTTACTTTAACTATTTATTTTAAAAAAAATTTGAAGGCTCATAGTTTTTCTTTTATGAGAAAAAATATATTTATGATTAAATTAAATTTTTTTTCATGGTTTGGGGACTAAATGATAGTTTATATGAAATTCTTAATTTTCATTTTCTCTATTTCGCTTACCATTGTTTTTTTTTTTAATTTTTTTTTATTTCAATGAATTAATTTTTAAAAAATTACAAATATATTTTAATTTAATTAATAAACAAAAGTAATGTAGGTTTTAATAATTTTATTTACTTTTTTTATACAAATAAAAAAGTCACATCAAATTTTTTAATATGTTATAACTATTTCAACTCAGAAAATCTAACTACTACAATTTTTTTTTTTGTTTAAAGATATAATAAACTTATTAAGACTTAATTTAATTGAGCAATCACAGCTCCACCAACATACTAATGAGCTAAATATTTAATGACACTGAATCAAATATTATAAGAATGTCATTTTAACCCATAATATATTCATAAAATAACGAACTTTACATTTTTAATAAAATTTAAATTCATAATTTTTGAATAAAATATAAAAAATAATAACAATTTTATTTAATAAAAAATTTTAATTACAAATACTTGTGTTAAAAAAATATTCATTCTATATTAATTAAAACCGAGAAGAATCTTTCTAAAAAAAAATTCATCATAGTTTCCAAGTTAATCATGTTTTAGAAGATAAAATTTGATAAAAAAAGATCTTTGATATAATTAAAAAATTCTAACATTTATTTTTTTCATTCAAGTCTAACACTAAAGAGAGAAGCATTTAGGCATGATCCCAATCTCCAATCTCCAATTTGTAGAGGAGAAGTACCATGTGTAGATGAATCAATTATTTATTCGCATTGATTACTCTTAATTAACATTTAAAGTAATAAAATTAATAAATATAAGCTTATTTTATTATTCTAATAAATAAAATAATATATAATAATTTTATAAATATCATTAAAAATTTATATATTTTCTTAAGTCATCTTTTGATAAATCAAAATCACAACCCACTTTTGTGGAGGGTGAATGGGCCGAAGCACATATTTGGGCTATAAAAGAACGGAAGCCTGGCAATTCAAAGTTTTTATTAGCTTCGATTCAGGGATTCTTGTACGCTTCATGGGAGACACTGAAACGCAGCACCGTCATTTTTTCGTTCAAATGCTAAAAGCTTTAAATTCACTTTCTCGTTTGCCATCTCTTTCCATCCCCCGGTATGGTTCTCTCTCTCTCTCTCTCTGGTTATTAGGTTTTTGATTATCTGGTTATATATGCTTATACCTTTAAATTTAGGGAGCATCTAGCTTGTTAGCGAGTTACGTATAGTCTCTTAGAATTGAAATTAGCTTGGCGTACTAATCCAAGTTACTGTTCAAGTCATCTTATTATTTGCCTCATTTTGATTTTCGGCCATTACTTTATTATAGTCTAAAGATTTTGAATTGGCATTTGGACGTATAAAAAGAGTTTAATAGTATAAGCTTTGCCTATTGTTGGAACAAACTGATTCTTCTAATGGAATTTAACTGAAAATGTATGTTCAGGTTATGTTAAAGTAACATTTTCTATTGGAAATTCTTATATAATTTAATTGATAGTGAGTAAAAATCTCATTTACTGAAGGGTGAAAGTCTCATTTAAAATAATAAAGAATGATCTCAGAGGAAAACAGCAGGTGAAATTGGAAGTAGTCTACTTCAAATTTCATCGATTTTGATAGAATTTAGAATTCATTGTTTTAATTTTAATCAAAATTCTGTAAGAAGTCATTTTATTATCTACTAATTAAGCTAAGTATGGGTTTTTTTAAGATAAAGTTTACTAACTTCTCAATTTGTTCCAAAAAATTTAACTTATCTAATTCATTTAGAAACTTACACTTATTTTGACTATAGAAAATTTAAATCTGTTTCAAAATAATAAAAGGATGACCTTCTAGATGATGTAAAGTGGAATTGGGATAATACCTTTCAAACTCCATAAAAATTAGTGGAATTTGAAATATATTATCCAAATTCCATTTTGAATTATCTAGAAAGTTGTTTTCAGTCATTCAATAGGAGAATTGCATTCTCATGGTTAAAAAAAGTGGAAATTTCCAAATAAATTCTAAACATAAAATTATTTCTTGCAACCATAGTGTTTGTTCAAAATTCAATTTTATTTGGAATTGAATTTTTATATGTCTTTTTATCACATGCTTCATTTCTAAATCTTACGTTTTTGCTCTCTGAAAGCAGAATGTGAGAATTTGTTATTCTATAAAAAAGATCTATGCCTTTTATTTGCCTTTCTTAAATAAAATTTGTTATTCTATGAGAAAGATCTTCGCCTTTTTTTTACTCTCTTAAGTAAAATATGTTATTCTGTAAGAAAGATGTATGTTTTGTTTTTCTCAAGTAAAATTTGTTATCATTCAAATCTACAGCAGGTACTTTTCTGCCAAAATGAGCACCAACCCAGATCCAATATGCCTGAAGTTCATATCCGTAGAAGGGGCTGACATTTGTTCAAGAAGTAAATCTGATGGTATATTTGTATTCTCTCTTTGCTGTTTCAGACTTTAATAAGTTTATGTACGCATGGTGTTAAAGAATGCTCTTCTTCCTTTTTTGTCTTTTGGCATATTACGATTGCTTTTTTTAAATTTTTTTTTTTCTGTGATCTTGTGTTTCCTGTTTTTGCTTATATCTTTCTCGGCCTTTTGGCTAAGATCAAGTGTTTCCTGTTGTTGCTTGGAGTTTCCTGCTAGAATTATTTTTCCAATATTTATTATAAGTTAATCTATTAATTCGAGACAAAACTGTATCAACTAAGAAACTGATGCTAAGATTGTGGTCAAGATCTAAACGTTATTGAGTTTTATTTTGCAGGCATCAGATTTCGCCTTGTCTCATATAACATTTTGGCTCAGGTTTGTAACCATCACATTCTGTCTGTTATGAACTTCCCACTCAATTCTAATTTGTAATTATCTTATTCGTCTTTATGGAATTTTCATTTATATGTTACTATTATCTATGGAAGGCTTCCCAGGAAAAGTAATAAAATATTTCATGTTACCTGAATGATTGCTCATCTTGTGAAGGAAAATTCATCATCCAATTTATAGAGAATTTATGAACACAAGTTCATTTCTGGCATTAAGCATTTCTAGTGTAAAATTGGAGTCTTTGTATTTATGGATTTTGGACATTCTAACTTCCAAGTTCTAATCTTTTTCTTTATATTGTTTATGACATTTGTTGTGTTCTCTAACCTGTCAAAATCACATTTATAACCATTAATTGCCCTCATTTTCTAGGTTTATGTGAAGAGCTCTCTATTTCCACATTCTCCACCTGGTTGCCTCAGGTAAAATTTCTATGATAATAATTCTCTATACCTCTATTAAAAGAAAATTCCATGTTTATTTTCCATCTTTACTCCAACAATAACTTTGGATGGAAAATGTCATCTCTATGCTGATTTTTGTGCTTCTTATGTGTCCCAAATAGAAGATGGGATTGGAATTGTACTTTCTTCTAAAATTCTTGTGGACTAAATGATTTGCATGTGTAGTAGGAAATACATGGTGTTGCTTGTTTCTTATTAATGTTCTGATTTTAAAGTCACACACAGAGATAATACATGTGGTAAATGTCCTTTATTTTTTTAAAAAAAACATGTGGTAAATGTCCTACACATAGGAAAAGTCCATGGGTTATGAATTAAAATTGCTAGGATATAATAAAATGCAGGATCTACTGTTTTCTTCCTCTCTCCCTAATTTCTTTTGTATGATATCAGAGCCAACATTCAAAGGAAAACCCATACAATATACTTCATAACCATATAAAACCTAATATTTTTTAAAAGATCCAAAATAAAACTTTTTACTGAATCATTGTAACAAATATCATAGCCTACTGTATCACACAATACTGGATGCTATAAGTGGTACGGTATATGCAGAATTTCATTTCGGGTCAAATGCTTGTTAAAACTAGTGAAATTGGTCAAAATTGAATTGCCTGGCGAAAATACTAATAGTTATATTTTTCTTTTTGAAATTGAAACCTAATACTTTTATAGAGTTAATATGTTAATTTTCACTTAGAAGTTAAAAGTTAAGATTCATTTTTATGTAGGACAACTTGATGACAATGTTTGATTTAGTATTTATCATTTTTAATATGATATTCTTGTTTTATACTCTTGACCTATAAGCTAAACTCATTAAAATTTCTGTTAGATAATTTAGAAGAAAATCTTGTTTGATGTTTATTGTTAATTTTCAAATTAAAAGTTTTGTTACTTTTTTTGATAAATATAATACTTCTATCATTTTATTGTACCTCTATATATGTATGTATATATTTGTATGTGTACAACATTGTGTAAGTAAAATTATAAACTGCCCGTAAATTTGAAAAAATATGCAGAAATATTTAGGAATACAAGTATCTATCATTTAGAAGCTAAGTTGCTGGCATAAATGGTATTTACTAACAAAAGAACTACCTAGTCTGAGATCTTGAGGTTTGTTCCTTTCTCATTGCTTTACTTCTATTCATTGTAGGATGATTTGCCTCCAAGCTTGGTTGTTGAGATATCTCTTTTTATCATTAAGCATATGCTCGATGAGTTAGTATGGTATTAAGCTTTTTATCATTAGAATCAATCTTATATGGTTAACATAACTAATAGGCAGTATTACTAGTGGAGCTGATGACATATTTGCACTGTAGTTCGTATGCTTTCTATTGTGATAAATGGTGCTAGCAAATTTATCGACATTTAAATGATATTAGTTTATGTCCTTATTTAGCACCCCTTGGTGCAGATCTTAGGAAATTTGTTTTCTTTTCTGGTAAAAATATTTCTTTTTGAACATTGTGCTGATGGCAGATGGAAAGCTCGTTCACAGGCCATTTTAACTGTTCTTGACAGCCTTGATGCTGAATTCCTCTGCCTACAGGTTTCTGTTTTCCTCTTTTATTTCTCCTAGTATATATTTTCTTTTTTCTTTTGAGAGCTTTTGTCTGGATATCAATCCTCTTACCATGTTTAGAGGTAAATGAAAGGTTTGAGAGGAGTTAGAGGGCCACTAATTAATGGTTGGCTGATGTCATTCTTTGTGAAAACTATAAAGGAAGGAACTACAGAACCAACTCTTACTGTAACTTTATATTTTTGACAGTAACCCAACCAACGAAACTCTTTTTCATAGACTGAAACCTTTTCTGTGTGCATGCATCAACGTTTTTCTAGCAGCTTTGTGGTTGTAATGCTTTTCTTATTACGTTCTGTTACAAAACTTTGCCAGGAAGTGGATGAGTATGATACTTTTTATAAAGTGAACATGGAAAGTCTTGGCTATTCCAGTATATATATCCAAAGAAGTGGGCAAAAGCGTGATGGCTGTGGAATTTTCTTTAAGGCTGACTGGTATCACAAACCTTCTTGAGAGTTTTTTTCATGGGATAGTAAATGGAGGCCTGGCTTGAGAAATATTCAGCCACATACTAGATATCATAAATTAGACTGGAATAAACACACATGCATTTTGAAATTTAATTAGTTAGTTAAGTTGAGAAAATGTTCATCCCAACGGTTAAGTGGACTATTTTTTTTTTTTTTTTCAGTTTTTATATAAATTTTTTATAACTATTTCTTGTTGATGGAATCCATTAAAATTTTCAAGAATTGTACTTTTTTATGTAATTCATGTCATTCTACGGTTAGCATAATAAGGAGACATGATTATTTTTGGTACACTTAAAATTCAGTTGTATGAAATACATTATGGAAGTTGTATTTTGTTTATTATAGGAAATTGGGATAAAAAGAAATTGTTCTAAAAACCTACATCTCTATCTGCTCAAATGAGAAATATATGTAATTAGTAATTTAGATATGTATTTCTTCAATTACATGATAGCTTCAGAAATTATCAGTTTACATATATCAGTGATTGTCTACTCAATGTTATGTTGATTCAGCGCAGAGTTGCTGATAGAAGAAAGAATAGAATATAATGATCTTGTGGATCTGATACAAGATATATCCATTTCTTCTGGTGACAAACAGAACACAGTGGTTGTTAGTGAAATTAAAGATGATCCAAAGAATGGTAACTACTTTTTTGGTTGTAGCCTAATTTAGCTGCTAATGTTTTACTAGTTTTGGTTTTCATATCTTGGTAGGGTTTATTTGAAGTAGTGGATATTGTGGAGAATGAAGTATAAATCTTATTGAATAATAGCGGTATATATATACACGTTTTATGAACAGTAGAAGGAAACACTCTTATTTGTATGAGAGGTGTCTATTATTACTATACCTTTTATTTTACTTACTACACAAATACACTTCCCAATGCTCCCCCTCAAGCTCGTGAATAAATATTATCTATTTTCGGCTTGACAATAATAGTTTGAAACTTAGGATTACTTAATCCACTAGTCAATACATTTGCAAGTTGTAAAGTAGTATGTATAGTGTGCATATCGATCGAATATTTAGTTTTTCTTTGATCAAATGTCAATCAACTTCAAATATGTTTGTCCTATCATATTATATAGAGTTGTGAATAATGTTAATTGTTGACTTATTATCATCAATAAAGTCTAATAGGTCCATTCCAATGAATCTTCAAGTCCTCCAAAATCATATTGAACCATAGGAGTTCAGACACTTCGGGGTCCATTGTGACATCTCGATACCTGGTGGGGTAAAAGGGAGCTTGATAACAAAACAAATACGAATGCATGAAAATAAACAAATATATATATATGCGACGGAAAATAAAATCCCTTATAACAAAATTTGAATTTCAAATTTTAACATCTGAAGTTAAGAAGATGGCTGCCAAAATACGAATATACACAGTTTATGGAGAGCCACTTCTATTATTACAAAAGTGTTTCATCATAGTGCGAACAGATAATGCACTCAAAATTCTTCTAAAGATTCGAGAATTGATCCAAACAAGTTTCAATGGGTAGTTCAGCGAACGAATCATTTCTTTCATCATCTAAGGGGGACATGGGTTCAAATGAGTTCCAATTAATTCAGTAAGGGAAATAATATTTAAACAATATTAACAAAATTTTCAGAAGTTATTTAGTTTCAAATATACCATTATCAAGTGACTTACCTCTTGAACTTGTCGGAGAACATATTTATTGAAATATTGAGAAAATGTTAATTTTTTTAAACTAAATCAGAAACATCGGTATTTAAATCACAATAGGAAGTAAAGACATAGCAGCGCAATCATAATATGTCAAGAATACAAGAAGGTAATGAAATAGAAACTAGTTAAACCAACTAAAAACATGACAAAATTATGATGGAAGAGTGAGAAACATATTCATTTGAAAGAACTACTAAAGTATGAGAAATCAGTCAACTATTCTAGTCATATTCTCAAGTATTTCCATTTTATTTACGTCTTTTACATATTTTCTTGCGAAACTGTTCTAATTTATATCAGCAGATGGCAGAAAGGATCCCCAACTACCACTGTAAATAGGTAAACAGATTTATTTAAATATCAGATGTCTCAGAGATAAACTAATGATCACGGTTGTATTTTACCACTGTGGCTCCTACAGATTAGATAAGACTATTGACCACGGCTGTACTTCACTACTATGATCACTACAGATTAGATTGCGAATCCACTTTCGTCAGAGGAAATGTCAATACCATTCATAGGGATTGGTTCATCAACAGATTTAGATACAAAAACAGAAACAGAAACCCTCGAGTGACAATGGTCAAATAGATTTTCAATTCTTTTCTTTTTTTTATTGATTTCAATTCACAGAAAATCATGAATTTAGAACTCGATGGGGGTCCACTCAATATATCCCGGCCTAAGGAGGTCTTCATACCCTGACTTTGCCATCTGGTAATCCTTTCGAGCAGAGGCTCAAACTGTTTATATAGTATAGGCAAATGTTTAACGATAGAGGACAAATGAGCGTCTTGAGGCTCCCTTAACTTCTAAGATAATCTCTCCCTGAAGATATGATTGGTTAAAGAAATATTCAGTCTC